GAGGCTTCTGCGGGACCTTAACTCTCATGCTATTTCCTCTCAACTTCCTCCAGCCTTCTGCCAGTCCAAGCAGAGGCCAAGGAAAAGGAGCAGGAGAGAGTGAGTGAGACGCCTTCCACCTCTGCCTCCACCCCACCCTGGCCTCCATCCCACACCTCACCCCTAATTTCTCTTTCATAGGCTAGGGTCAGGCCAGCAGAAGCTCAGAGCAGTCTCAGTCCTCAGGATGATAATGCCGCCTTCTACAACTGTAGCTGTGACAACTAGAGGAGTTCCTAGTGGCCACTTGGGAACATTAGATCTTTGTTCTACGGGAACATGTGAGCTGTAGTGGTTCAGGGTCAAAGAAACGTCAGTGGAGATTTATCATGGATTTATTATGAGTTAAGACGTTTGCGGTCTGAGCAGACCGGGTGCAAATGTCCAGGGGACAGTGTATCCATGTTCCAAATCATGGACTTGCAAACAGACATTGGGACTGGGGTTCCTGAAATTTGGAAATGGGCTGTACTGTTTTCCAATCAAGCAGAAGAAATGAAGAAAATCCCATATTGGAGGCATAGGCAACTTCCATGATTTGTAAAAACATTTTTCAGGCAAAAATTTTCCGAATACTTGCTTCAAACCAAAGATTCTGAAAGTTGAACACTAGTCAGAAGTGGTAGAGTCTGGTTATTAAAAATAAAAGCTTTATACTTTTAAATCTTTAAAATACACTTTAGCATAACCTACACTATTTTATCCTATAGTAACCCTGTGAAATATTATTTTCCTCACTTTCTAGACGAAAAAGCTAAGGCTCAGATGTATTAAGCCACTTGACTGATATCACGGTTCAGAGCAGACCTAGGACTCAAGCTAACACCGTGAGTTTCCCACCCAGTCTCCTTACTGCACCACCAGCACCTCTGCAGGCTTTGAAGCCCTGCTTTTTGAGGCCACGCTTTTTTTTTTTTTTTCTTCTGGTAAGCAAAATCTGCACCTCCCAGACAGTACATTTTTTCAGGCTTGGCATGATTTATCTTGCTTGCTTGGCATGCAGGCATCTATTACATAGCTCCCAAATGTGGATTTATAGATGTTATCAGAAGTCAGTTGTAGGTTTTGTGAAGTGATTATACAGGTACAGTCTTATTTTGCTAAATTTAACAATTTAGTGTACAAGGAAATATGAATAGGCCAAGAGATAAAAGCTTAGCTGACAGTGTTTTAACATCTAATTACGTAAAGCAGAGAAGAGAGCTGTACTCTTAGACTAAAGCTGGTAGAGTTGTTGTTTTCATGCCTACGGACACTTTAGGACCCGTCTGTGATTTGTGGTAAATATATGAAGGAAAGATAGTCCAACATTTGTGAAAGATATTTTAACATTTTTTGATAAAAATGACTGCCCCCAATATAAATAACATTGATTAGAGTTTCCTTTCAATTGGCTGCTCTGTTATAATTAACATTATTTTAAACTCTGCATCTGAAAGATTTCCAAGAAAAGTTAGTTGCTAGTTTTCCTAAGGCAAATGAAGAGATAAGTAAACATACTATTCATGATATCAGCTTTCCGATGAAACAGGAGATGATAAGGATAAAGAGAGTTAAAAACAGCTCTTTCTAAGAGGAAGGACAGTAAAAACGGAATAAAAACCTTGTGTGGGAAACCCAGAGATGGACCTAGGAGCTCTCCCGGCTCTTGCCCAAGTTTGAGAAAGCTGCAGTGTGTAGCGTCCCTAGCCGAGGGCGAGCCCGAGGTGCGCTGGAGAGGGCTTGAGCCTGGCTAGCTCATTGTTCTAGCTCTTCTCCAATGTGGTCAGCAAACAGGATTGTCTGTAAGGAGGAGCAGAAATTGCGGGTTGGTAGGTGTCCAGGTGCCAGAGTGGTCAACACATTTAAGCAAAGAAGGTGAGCTTGTAGGAATAAAATATTTTCTTTCAGGCCACAGAATAAAACCTTCTGGAAACTGTCTCTGTTAGGACACTTAAGTTGCTTGCAATGGTGTAACAGATATTTACTTGATTTTTTAAAATAAAGATGATCTTTTCCCCTCTCCAATTTGCCCTATCTTACCAGAGGTGGAGGTTTTAGTTAATTCAAACATTAATAAAATGTTTGTATTTTTACAACAAAAAAAGAAGAGCTTGGAAGAATAGGCTAAATCTCATCTTCCCAGGAGCGTGAATCCCTGAGTTCTGACATCAGTGGCTCCCTATCTCTCTGGTGGTTGCACCACTTAATTGCAGGCAGTAGCCACTTTTAAGAGCTGAATTAATATTTTTCTATTCCATTTTGCTTTCCAAAGAATGCTAGAATTATACATCCAGGGTAGAGTTGAAAGTTTGGGGGCACGCATTTGAGATTTTAAAATTATTAAGTTTCCGAAATACTTATATATATCAAATAATACAAAGAAAATGGAAAGTATTTTTCCTGTCTTGTTTCCTTTTTCATGATCAGCATAATAAAAGAATCCTTTGGCATGTTTCTAAGCATGACAAATCAATAGGGTATTAAATTAGAGGGGAAATAAGAAATTTAAATTTAAGCTGATTGAAAAATCCAGCATTTTATGTGCAAATGAGTATAAATTTATGTATACATATGCATATATCATATGTTTCAGGTACATATTAGATTTGTAAATGGAAATGGTCTATGTGGTGAATGTTGGCAAATAACATTCATTTTTAGGATTACCATGAGGAAAATGGGTTTACATTTTACTTATGTATGACAGCAGTTTTCTTTTCACTTTCAATGTAACGTTGGACTCAAAATCTGATAAAGGTAAAATTTCCATTATTTTGATAATACTTACATATTCAGAATACATTTGTTTATTTTAGGCTGAAAAACTAGTATAATTATTATGAGTATTGATTGAAACAGCCTCATTTTATAAGTGAACAAAGATGCATAATCATTTTGGTTTCTCTTATGGCTTAAATACTGTCATGTTAATACTACACATGTGTATAGTGTGCTATATTTTTAAAAAAGGTAAGGAATTGATTGAAGAATTTTCTTACTTTAAGGCCAAAATCAGGGAGTTAAATTTATAAGACTAAGGAATTCCAATGGGAAAAGAAATAGAAAACATTAGCTCAAAATTTAGCTAATTCAGATCCTTCCTCATACTAACTCTATGCTGTTTAGACCTTTGGGAAATTTTGGAAAACATAGACTTACATCTTTCATAATCTATGAATTTAATATTCTCAATTTTCTACTTTGTTTTACAGGAAATCAAACAAGCACATTGAACAAAGTACACAAATTCAACAGCTGGGAAGGCATTATGGAGAGGTCCCGTGACATTTTCTTCAGTTTTCTCTAAAAGGAACTAAAGAACTGATTAAATGTACTCTTAGACCAAATATTCCTTTAAAAACATAAGTATAATTCATTTCCTGAGAGGCATGTATTAAAACATGTGATATCTACTTACTGCTTTTTTTCTCTTTCTAAACTAAACTGACATGGAAATAGTTTGAGAAAAAATTTAAGAAATGGGTACCACTTTATATCGAAAACATAATTTCTCACCTAAGTGTTGGTACCTGCTCATTTTTTTTGTCTCAGTTAGTAGCAACCTCTTCCTATAATAATGGTCCCTTACCTGTCATGGTCCATCAACAACTCTAGCTACTACTCTCTTCCCAATATACCAATTTCCTAGAGACATCTATTTCACTGGCCAGGTTGTGTTGTTGCCTTCATATGTCATCCTGCCTGAAAGATGTTAGCTTCGTTGAAAGGGGGGATGTTGAAAAACAGTCTTCCTGTCTTGATCCCAGTAACTTCCTTTTCTCTGTTACTTCCCAACCACAGGGCCATGACTGGGCACCATGTCTACCCACCTATTGGAATTAGGAATAAATACAGAAGAGTTCAATTTGATTTAGCAAACAGTTAAAAAAAAATTAAAGAGTTTTTTTTAACCTATCCCCTTTAACAGCAAGAACTTGTATAGATTTGTCTTCAAGAAAATTGGAATATCAGATCCGTGAAAACAGAAATAGAGAATATGGAAAATATCGCAAAACTAAGTATTTTTTCTAGACCGTTCAAATTGTTCAAGACAATAATTTCTTTTCTCAGAAACATGCATAGTCTGGCCTGGTTACCTCGGGAACTCTTCCTTTTTCCCTTTCTTTTTCTCCTTACTTCTCTTTCTCTTTCTTAAGTTCATGTATGACTCCCTCCTTCCCCACTCCCTCTAAAAAAAAAGTCACTGTAGCTGCACTTTCCAGAGATTAGAAAAATTAAACCCTGACTATTGAATAAATGACCACATTTAGCATCTCTGAAAGTACCCTAACCCTCTCTGTCTCTTCCAATTAAACATTCTTTACTAAACAATAAAATAAACCCCACATTTAACTGATTCAAATTTTTTCTGTTCTTTCCCTGCCCCCTTATTATTTCTGTAATTCTATTTTTCCTATTGTTCATTTTAAGCTTGCAGTATTTCAACTACATTTGGATTAAATAAGCTTTTTGTGATCTGGTCTTGAAATTTAACCACCATCTACAGCAATAGGTTATGAAGGAACGTGTTTTAAGACTAACAAATGATTTGGTATAATATAGCCCATTTTAAGCTGGAAAATGTTTCTAACAACATAGATTTTCATGTGTGAGTTTTGTACCCAGTTTTGTTAATTTATAGTTTCACCCAGAATGTTTTTTTTTAGGATCTTTTTAAATTTAGAGCTCATATTATTACCTAATTGGTAGTAAGCCACCTAATTTTCAGCAAACAAAGGACATAGTTATTAACATTCTAGTTTGTAAATCAATTCTGATTAGTCCACGATAATTGGTTTGATTAAATATTACTATGTCAAGCAAGTGGCCCAGTATTTTGGTCATTAAAAAATCCAAATTGGATTGATTGTTTGTTTATCCTGATTGGATGGCAGTTGGCCTGCTAATTTTCAATCAGATTGGGTATATCACGTCAGTACACCATGCTTTCCATATGCTACATTCTGAAAACTCAATCACTAAGACTCTTTGCCCTCTAGCATCTTTTTCAGGGAGTCTTTTACTTCTGTGTTCCTCAGGCTGTAGATCAGAGGGTTGAGCATGGGAATTACAAGACTATAAAACACAGAAACCACTTTGTTGTACTTCCACGAATTCCCTGCTTTGGGTTGCTTCAGGTACATGAAAAACAGTGTTCCATAGAAGATGATGACCACAGTGAGGTGGGAGGCACAGGTGGAAAATGCTTTGCACTTGCCTTTGGAAGACTGAACTTTTATAATGGAAAAGAGGATGCAAATGTAGGAGACGAGGACAGTCAGGAGGGATCCAGTGAGATTCACAGCAGAGAAGATCAAGAGGTGCTTCTCTTTGTTGTGGGTGTCAGAGCAGGAGAGGGCAAGGAGAGGGGGGTCAGCACAGTAGAAATGGCGGATGACGTTGGAGTCGCAGAAAGACAACTGGAAAGTCAGCACTGTCTGTATCACAGAGTTTAGGAAGCCATAGGTATAGACCCCTATCACCAACTCCTTGCAGACCCGCTGAGTCATAGTGGCTGTGTAAATCGGGGGTTGCAGATAGCCATGTAGCGGTCATAGGCCATCGTGGCCAAGAGGAAGCATTCCATAGTGGCAAAAGCCCTGGAGAAGTAGAGCTGAGCAAAACAGCCCAAAAAGGAGATGGTTTTTTTCTTCACCAATAAATTTTGCAGCATTTTGGGCCCAATAGAAGATGAATAACAAAGATCAATGAAAGCCAGGCGGCTGAGGAAATAGTACATGGGGGTGTGGAGCCTCGTATCCACCTTGACGAGCAGGATCATGCCAAGGTTTCCCACCAGGGTGATGAGATAAATTACCAGGAATACCACAGAGAGGGGAAACTGGAGCTCCGGATGGTCTGTGAAGCCCATGAGGACAAATTCTGTCACTGTGGTACGATTGCCTCTAGACATTTTGTTCTCTCTCTTCTTGGAAAAAGAAGAAATATGGCTTTAAAATGGTTAGATACTTAAAAACAGAAATCTCTCACCTCTTTGTTCCAGAACCAGGTGACAAAAATTTGGCTTCACATTCCCAATGGTTAAAGGCTGTCATTAGCCACAGGGCTTTATTCTGCTAAAATAGACTTAGAAAAGTCTGAGCTCATTCACTTTCTTTCTTGACAGAGATTGACAAATTGACCTCCAAGTTGCACTGTTACACTCCCAATATTGTACAAGAATACTGTTTTTCCCACAAACCAAAAGTTTTGTGAAATTTTAAATCTTTGCCACTGTAATGGTGAATATTAGTAACTCACATTCTCTTGATTTGTGCATTTTATAAAGTTATGAGCAAGGGTTGGCATTTTTTCAAGCAATTATTTGCATGTGCATTTCTTTTTCTATGAATGGTCAGTTCAGTTCCTTTGCTAATTTTTCTATTAGGTTGTTGGTCTTCTAAGCATTTTATTTATAGGAGCTCTTTGTTTATTAAAGAAATCAGCTATTTGTTTGGTATGTCTATTGCAAGTCATTTTTCAGTTTGTTAGTTGTCCCTTCATGTTGGTATGGTATTATTTCTTTGTGCTATGCAGTAAGCTTTAAATATTTTGATGTCAAATTTATCAATCTTTTTCTTTTTGAATTCTTACCTTTGTGATATGGTTAGATAAGCCTTTCTCAATTTAAAATTATTAAAAAAAATTATCTCATTCTATTCTAGAGTTTTACTGGATTTCATTTTTTTTTTTTTTGTGAGGAAGATTGGCCCTGAACTAACATCTGTTGCCAATCCTCCTCCTCCTTTTGCTTGAGGAAGGTTGCCCCTGAGCTAACATCTGTGCCAGTCTTCCTCTGCTTTATATATGGGACGCCGCTGCAGTATGGCTTGACAAGTGATATGTAGGCCCGCGCCTGGGATCCGAGCCTGCTAACCCTGGGCCACCGAAGCGGAGCGCGTGAACTTAACCACTATGCCACGGGGCCAGACCCTGTTTACATTGCAATCTTTGATCTATCTGGAGTTTAATTTTGATGTAAAGAATGAGGTAATAAATTCTTTTTATTTATTTATCCAAATAGTTAGCCAGGTATTCTAATGTCATTTGTTGGTGAAATCACTTTCCAGTTGACTCCGTTAATTTAAAACTCTAGTCTTGTTTTATAGTAAAACATTTGTAAGTACTTCGATCACTTTAGGATTATTTTTTCTTCATAATCTCTTCTAGAACCTGGACCAAACATTTAAATACAATAGCTTTATAATTGATTTTAATATCTGGTAGCAAATTTTCTGGCTATTCTCACATATATATTTTTCCAGATGAACTTTAGCATCTGTACTTCCAGGGCACTGTTAAAAAATAGTGACTATGGGGGCAACTTTTACCTTTCAACTTCTTGAAGGATGCTTCAGGATTACATTGAGACTGTCAGGCATTGCAGACAGAGAGAATAGCCTGTGCAATATAACAGTGTAATGATGTTTGAGAAAGACAAGGCAATAAATAACTGCAAATGTTTGGTGTGGCTAAAAACAGGATCCCTAGGAGCAGGCCCACCTTTGACATTAGCAAGGTCCAGGGAAAGAATAACAAATGGGGGCTCACATCTCTTATGCCTAAATATTTAAAAGTTAAAAAGAAATAAAACAAATTAATAAAATATGTTCTATCCTCCCTCCCCAACAAATATACCCTTATAATAGAATTCTAACTATTAGACGAAGTTAGAACTAGAAGAAGTTAGAATTCTTGGGATCCTTGGAGTTCCACACTAGAATGAGATGGCGAGAGGAGAATCTTTCTCCAGCCCACATATGTGGCTGCACATGTGTGGACATGCCAGCCTGTGTACATGCTCTGTTTACACCCCTGCAAACAGCCATCCCTTGACTACCCTTAAAGCCTAGGTGTATGAACATCAGCAGCGTGGTTCACTCTTACAAGGTGATCTAGGAAAGAAGCACTTGTAGGCTCTGGGAGTAAGTTGGGGGTCATTTGGGTAAGGAATTTTAGGGACGTTTCACCCGGAAGATGGTCTAGAAGGGATGGATAGAATGGACTCCAGGTGGGTGCTTCCCCTTGGCCTTATCCCATGGGGTTTGGTACAGTAGGAAGAGGCCTAGAATTGCCCTAAAGAATGGGGCCACCACAGGGTCCCTTTTTTTTGGGTCTAAGGGTAGTACTGGCTGTAAGTGAATGATAAGAAACGTGGCTAGGGTGCATGTCTAGGCTAGATAGTTGAGGGCCTCTTACCCATAATAAAGAATTTGGTCTGTATCCTGTAGGAAGTAGGCAGCCTTTGAAATGAACTGAGATGATCATTGGAAGATGGAAAGAATTTCAAAAGGTGAAGGATGGATTAGAGGAGAGCATTGTAGGAAGGAACAATGGAGCAAGTTGTTGAGTCAGACGGCTCAGAGCATGATTGAGGGACTGTGAGCATCTTTTAGGGTAAAAGTAAGTCCATGTGAAAGAGATTAGTGATTCTAGAGCCCTCAGCCTAAACTACACTGACTCCCACTTAACGATTCCTCAGTATTTATTCATTTCATGATTTTTTTTCCTATTTTTTTCTTGCAAATTAGACTCATGAGAAAATTTTAGGCATATTATTTGGTATATGCCTAAAATGATAAAATTTTAGGCATATATTAGTAACACTTAGTTTGTTCAGGCACTTTAACATTTATCGTTGTGTTTAACTAATATATTCAACCTTTGATAATTCAGAGTGTTGTTTTGTTCTTTATGTTTGAACAATTCAAACAACTTTGTTGAATAATCTAAGGAATATTCTTAACTCTAGGAAATGGGGGGGAACATGAACTACTTTGAGAATCTGATGAAAGCTAAGGATCTGTTCCTAGGAAAGTTTCACTCATACAAAATTTTGTATGTAATTTCAGAAGCTTTGTGAATTTATCAGGTCCCTGCTGCTGTGGTGTCCTCATAGAATGACACACTGACAAAAAAAAAATCCCTAAAAAATCCCAGCTTTTCCAAGTAAGAATCAACCAATCCTTCCCTATTTGCTTCTCCAGCAGAAGCAAAGTTCAGTTCTCCTAAAGCCTTGTCCTCTTCACTGTCCCAGAACTGAAGCCCTTCTCTTGCTTGCCTTGTAGTTTTTACTACAACAGCCTTAGAAGTAAGTGCAACTTACCGAGAACCTATGGAACAGTCAGTCAGGATTCCCAATGCCCTGGAAGTGTCCACTTAGAATATTTCCAATCAGACAAACAGGCTTCTTCATGGCTGAATGGAAGGCCTGGTTTCTGTGTTCCACACCAACAAACTGGTATTTATAAAGTTAAAGTGCAATGAGTCTATTATCTCCTGCTATTCCAGAGCTTCCTGGGTAGCAAAGGAACAGTTTATACCGAGTTCCTGTGAGATATTTTACATTTGGATTAAACCACCTTTGGGAATTAAAATCCCTGAATCGTTCTGGTAACTAAAGATGACTCAGGTTATGATGCTTTGGTGCACATTCTCAGGATGACTTCCAAGTCTAGAACTTTTGGTATGATGGTTAGAGACAGCCTTCCTCCCTTGGCAGGACGTCTGCAGTGGGTGGTCTTGAAGCCATGGCTGGGGTGAGGGCCCAGTGACAGTTTTATAGAGGACTAGGTAAAGTTATGCAAAGATTGTATGATGAGGATGCACATATAGTACGTTTTTGCTTGCAAAGGAAAGACAGTCTTGGCTAGCATGTTTATCACAACAGATAGTGTAACAGAAAATCAGTCTTCATTTTTCTTACTGTTAGGTATTTCTCATTGAATCAAATTAAGGAGTAAAATCATATTCAAAACCGGGTCAGAGACTAAGTGTTTATTAGAATAGTCCCATAGACCTCCCTTCCTCTTCTCTCCCTTCCCCATTCCCTTCTGGATTGAAATTGGGGCAATCAGTACTGTCTGACGTGGCCAGGCTCGGTTTTTCAATGCATCTGGTCTTTCCCCATGGCCACTAGGGAAAAGAGAGCAGAACCCGGTCCTCTAGGTCGTTAATTGCAGCGTCTTAGCATAGCCCTTACAGTATTGCTCCAAAGAACACTGTCCCCAACCTCAGCTTTCAAAGCAAGGCAGAGCTAAGGTGAGAGCATTCTCCAATCAGAAAGTGCGTTTTCTGTCTCTCAGCATTCCCCAAGTTCATTAATTCACACCAAAGAGGAGGAAACTGGAACAGAATTGTGTTTGTGTCAGGCCCAGAGGCATGGTTCTAGTGGCTTTTCCTGGTCAGTTTTGCCCTTTTAAGTAACTTGTAGCAGGTAAACTATTACTTTTCATTCTGGTTAGAGGGGAGGATTTTGTAGACTATATATGCTGTAGAGTGGAATGTAAGTTTGATTTGCTGATTGACGAAGTCGTGATTTTGCAAATGCCATATTTGATCACAGGTTACCTTGACAATAAGCAATGGTACTTCCATTCTCAGAGTCCTTAAGACTGTACACCTATCTTGAGTAGTGACTAACAGGTCTGGAGTAAGGGACAGAGTCAGTGAGTCAGCTGAATTGCTGCCATTTATGTCACATTTCATGTCTAGTCCCAGTTCAAATGATAATCTATCTAATTTTTACCAAGAATTGATGTCTCTCTGGAATTCTCATTCCATAATGAGCCAATTGTAGGACTTGCAGAAAAGACTTGTTCTTGCAGAAAGCAGATGACATTGTGCATCTTGTCTGGGAGAGTGTCTAGCAGGGGGAATATAAGGAAAGAAATTGACATTGGGGGTCTCACAGAGCTGAGAAAAACTGACCATGGCACTTTTGAGCCAGTATTGACACCCTATATTCCATTGCTCAGCACAACTGGGAAAGAGAAGTCCTAAGTCTAGGAGTGTCAGATAGTCACCAGTGAAATTCTAAAGAAAAGGAAGGTGTCTTTAAGGATCCACTGGGTCATGAGACGTAATTCTAGTTTTTAGGAAGGACTTGTAGTAAAGGAAAGTGCATGTATGATT